GATAACATATTATCCCACCATTCTCTTAAGTGTCTTGGAAATCCTTAAACAATTGTCTCCACTACAATTTTATATGTCACAATCCCTTTTTGGGAAAGATATGTGACATACCATCCAATTAAAATCTGCATAAATTTTTGGCATTTAAAAAAAAAAATTTAACTTAGGATGATTAACGAAAAATAAAAATTCAACATCTCAATAATAAAATAGAGCCTCAAGACACCATCATAGAATTTTGAATATATAATCATCCTTTAACCAAATTTACACCAGAGTTGCTCGACACGAAGCTCAAAATACAAATTCAAAACCTGTAACTAAATAGTATAGACTCACAACTAAGATCTAGACTAACAAAAATGAAGCTACAGATCTAAAAAATATCAACTCAAGTCCTTTCTCAACCAAATCCTCTAACATGGAAAGTGGAGGCACCACCTATAATACATGCTATGCTCACATACTCCCTATGGTCATCGCAACAAACATGCCAACACAGAAAGAAAGCAAGGGTGAGCTTACGAAATAATAACCACTATTATAATATAGATATAATTATTTATATAGCTAAATGTATAAAAAAAATTTAGCAAATCAATGCAACAATTCAGCTCATTCCCAGCCCATCTAATACAAATACAACAGCTCAGTTCCAACTGATTTCACAACTCAAATAATCCACAAGGAACCTATAATTTTCTGGTTTGGAAACGACTCATCTCAGTATCTGGATCCAGACACAGTACAACACAACTCAATATTATCCTATCGTTATATGTCTAAACACCTAAACATGTAATTCAGCTATAGAATGATGAAAATCAACATGATGCATGATAGCCATATGTATACTTTACAATATTTATCAGACAATCTTAGCATAATAGATTTTCAGCATATATTGAACCTTTTCAACACATTATAAGAGGCTTCTCAATATGTTATATTTTACCACAACATTCTAAACATCGTCTCAAGCAAGATCAATTTCCATACCATCTATACAATAATAAAGAACTCCACAAATCATGCGTACTCTGAGTTCTACCCTAAAATTTATCCAAATAAAGAATAATGGTCATCAAAGGTAAGCTCCCTTTACCTGAAAATGGGTTTCTAAGATCACTCCCCTCATGGGTCCCAAAGAGAGAGATAGAGTGTTTAGATATCAAATACAATCTGAAGGACTCAGATCTCCTTAGAATGACAAAGTAGAAAACTCTTGAGAAAAGAAAACAAAGAATAAAGAGTGAAATAGGAGAACTAAGCTACAAAGACTTACCTATATCTGAACGGAAGTGGTGTTCATCCTCGAATTGAGAACATGTTCAACTTTCATGAGGTTTTCTCTAAGAAAAGAAGGTGAGAAAATAGAGAGAAAACGAGAAGGAAAAATTGTCTAGAGAAAATATATGTTTTTGAGGGCTACAGTTCCCTAAATACCCCTCCAAATTCACGTGTTCTTGCTTGAGCGAGTCAACTCTCGTTTGAATGAGCTTTGCTCTTGCCTGGGCGAAAAAACTAGACAGTCGTATCACTCAGTTTTCTCTTATTCTCGCTTAAGCCAGAGGCATTCTCGCTTGAGTGAAAAACGTTATTAATTGGGCAAGAATGAGTCTAGAGTGTTCCCTGTTTTTTCCTGCGACTCCTCATCTGAGCAAACTCAACTTGCTTGAGCAATGTCACTTCTCACCTGAGTAAGAGAACAATTGGGGTAGCATTATCCTATCTCACTTGAGCGAGATTGATCTTGCTTGAGGGAAATTGCTCCAAAATGCTCAGTTCAACATGACTCTGCCTTGCTTGAGCGAGAAACTCTGCACCAAAACTCCTATTTTTTTCTTGGGAGAAGACAATGCAAATGAGGGGTTAAGAATAGTTAACTGTGTTATATTTCTCACATTAATACACACATAAAACACTTAATAATTACTTACAAACTCTATTACTACTGTATCAAAATAAACAACTAAACAATATTATATATGCACAACTTTCATCTAACAACTATACAATTCACACATTTCATTTTTATTTCAATGCATATAGTCAAACAATTGCAACACGAACTAAAGGAATAATACATATATATACATATAAAAATATAGGTATGACATTATAACTTTTTCCTCTTATTTTATATATTGTAGCTGCCATAGCCATTTGCATGGTAAAATTTAAGATTGCTTGTTCACTTAGTTCATCTAGATTCCACTCTATTAAATCATTTTGAATATAAGAATTATGTACAAATTTTTCTTGTTCTTTTAAAAGTATATTCAGTAAGAATGACCTATAATATGGTTTGATTTTTAAGCAGTTATATTTTGTATTCAACTTATTTACTTTTATTGTATTCATAGAAGATTTTTCTATAATTAACTATGATATTTTGTTTTGAGTTGTTCTATATCTTGTTCTAAACCACTTTTTTTTTTTTTTTGAGAGTTTCTATTGGCTTTGTAGGTAATGTACCTATTTTTAGAATATGTTTTTCTAAACCTTCTTTTTTCTTATAGGATCTAGGCATATCTTCAATTATAGTTAATTGTTCTAAAGTAATCCTTAATATAGTATTAGTAAAGTTCATTTGTTGATGTAATTTGCTAATATCATTTTTCTCAATTTATTTTTCTTGAGAATTAGCTTTCTTAAAATGTAATGCCTCTACTCCTACTTTTTCATTGACTTGATTTATTATATTTTCATGTGAAGGATAATCTAAAAATACTTCTTTCTCTTTTGTAGTTTTCTATATTTTTCTAAATGTTCCTATTTGACATATTTCTTTTAAAAAATGAAATTCTTTTCCTAAATGTTGTTCTAACCAGTTAAAGAAGTAAATATAAATTTCTATTTGGTATAGATAATTATAAAATTTTTCTCTAAATTCCACTTGTTGTTTATGTGAATAAGTAGAGAAAAATAATCTAAATGTTCTTTAATCCAAGCCATATCTATAACAAAAGACTTTTCTTTTGTCAGAGTATTGATTACTTGTGATGCTATTGGGCTAAAGATTGAATATTCTTCAAAATTTTCATAAAAACAAATAAAAATTCTTAGTCTACTATTGTTGTCTAATCCTAGATTAATAATAGAGTTATCTGCTAAATTTGTAGATGACTCTTTTATTATAAGAGCTTGTTTTGATTTAAAGAATTAGATCTACTCATCCTAAGACAAATAGTTGATCATTTTTTAATAGTTTCTCTTATATTTGTATTATGTATTTTTGGTGTTTCTCCTACGTTTTTTCATTACCCATTCTTTCAGAATCCTTCTACTTAGTTCTTCTTGACTAAGCGATGTGGGGGGTTTGTATTGACTTCTTTTTGTGTTTGCTTCTACCATTATTGCTTCAATTTTCTTTGTTTGTCTTAAAGCTTTAAAATTATAATTTACTTTTGATACTTTATAACATATCCTACAAATTATATAAAAAGGATTTATAGACTTATCTGTAACATCTATCAGAGAATTTATAAAAATTCTTATAACTTTTGCTATTTTTCATTATTTAGGTTCATTGAAAAATTAAGATAACAATTAAATAATGTAGGACCGTCATGAAGATTACTATCTAAAAATGCTATTATTAAATCTTGTATTTTGTATAACCTCATTTCTAGTAATAATATAAGAATAGACATTTCAACTCCTATCCTATAGTTAGATTAAACTGCTACTTGAATTAATCCTAAGTGGACGAAATGATTTCTTTCTTATACATGTTTTTCTAATAATTTATTTTTCAAAAGTTGGATTTCTTTATTATTTGTTGTTCTTGATTGTGAATATTGTACTACATGTATTTGTTCATCTGGTTTTGATTTCAAAAGAGATCGTAATTTATAAATTTTTGAAGGTTTTATTTATGATATAGACTAATTAGGTAGTTACAAGATCCCCCGACTGACCATCAAATTTATTATTAAAGGCAGGCCTTACTGCTAAGACTACTGTATAAGCTAACTAACGTATTCACAATTCTCACTATTACTTATGTTTAATACTTAGAACCAAAAGAACTTAAACTTCTACTATAGTTTAGTCTCTGTACCAGAAATAAGGATCAACACTAGAGAAAAAGACATAAAAATAAGTAATAAAAATAAAAACAATAAAAATGAGATAAACATGAAATAGAATATTATAATAAGAATATAGAGTAGAAATAAGAAACTTAAAATCTAACATACTTTTTTTATAATATTATAATTATAAAACTTAGTAACTTAAAAAATATATTAATTTTAATAGAAAAATATATAAATTTTCAAAAATTTTACCTTTATCTAAAAATAAATCATCTCACAAAATTATCCTACATGTAATCTGAAAATATTACTGCACACATTTTAAATTTCTTATTTTGATCTAAAATATATATTTAAAATATTTTATTTCAGTTATTGTCAATCATAAAATATTTTAAAATATAAAAATAAATTCCTATCAATATAATTTAGAATTCTTGAAACTTTATTATATACTTAATTATTTTAAATTCTCCGATGTGTGAAAAAATTTCTCTTAATAATTTTTATTCATCTTCCTTTTATTCTTTATACTTTATTATTCTAAATTAACTTTTATTTATTATAAATGAATAAATAAAAATTAACATGTATTATGTAATCTAGAGTCATTCACGTAAGTCTTATATATCATTTAAAAAGAGAAATTTGACGAGAACTGTTATATAATAATCTTTTATGATTTCCATCAAACACTTTCTTTTAACATTGTTTTTAATTTTGTTGATTAACTAATAAAATTTAAATAAGTAGATTCGTCACTTGTGCTAAATTCATTTGTACTATTTAACAATGTCGTTTAAAAATATAATGGATATAAATTTTAAATGTCACAATATTATGAATTTTATTTTTATTTATATGAAAATTAATTAAAATAAAAGTGCCATATTTACGTAAAAGAAAAAAGGAAAAAGTAATAGTGACTTGCTGAAGGGACAAAGGAATTGGGGGAGGTTCTGATAAAAATAAATAAATAAATTTAACACAACACTTCTGCTCTGCGTCTAATTGCATCGATCTAGCGAAGAGGTGAAGAGAAACCCTTATAGCCAGAGAAGAGAGAGAGAGAGAGAGAGAGAGAGAGAGAGAGGAGAGAGATGGAGTGTGTATTCGGCTTGGTAGGGAATGGGTTCGCGATCGTGGTGGCGGACACATCGGCGGTGCACAGCATACTGGTTCACAAGTCCAACGAGGACAAGATTATGGTTCTCGATTCCCACAAACTCATCGCCGCTAGTGGTGAGTCCGGTGACAGGTACCTCACTCTCCCCTTCTTCCTCTTTCTTTATCTATGCCTTCTATCTCAATTCATTCCCCTTTTCCCTCTCATCTTAGGGTTCAATTCACCGAATACATTCAGAAGAACGTCGCTTTGTATCAGTTCCGTAACGGAATCCCTCTCACCACTGCCGCCGCTGCCAATTTCACGCGTGGCGAGCTCGCCACTGCTCTCCGCAAGGTCCCTTTTCCCAACCCTAACTCCCATTTCTTATTCCCTTTTTTTGATAAATCAAATATGTATTTATAAAATAATTTTTTATGTAGTTGTTTTTGTGATGATTATTCTGATTGGACTTCCGTTGTTTCATTTGCTATCAGTGCTGCAATCTGTATTATCTATAAACGGAAATTAAAATATGTGTATTCCCACCGTATTAGACTTGAAACCCCGGGATATTGATCCATGGAGGTGGCAATTTAAAAATGGTTTTAAAGATCAAGGTGCTGTTTGGTATTGGAAAGTGTTTTCTTTATTAATTTCTATGTTTTCAAATATTTTTTTTACACGAAACATTGTAATTTAAAGTGAAAACTTCAAGTGAAAACCGAGAACGTTTTTCAGAAACCAAACAGGGCCCAAGCTATTCTTGTTCTCACATTTATGTTCTGTGGCTATAGTTCGTTTATCCGTGTTGCATTTTGATTTTTGATAGTCAGTTTATTTATGTCTGAATTTGGTTTTCTTTAGAATCCCTACTTTGTGAACATTCTTCTTGCGGGTTATGACAAAGAGACGGGTCCTTCACTATACTATGTTGATTACATTGCAACACTTCACAAGCTTGAAAAGGGGGCCTTTGGTTATGGCTCCTATTTTTCACTGGCGATGATGGACAGACACTACCATAGTGGAATGTCAGTGGAAGAAGCAATTGATCTCGTTGATAAGTGCATTATGGAAATCAGATCGAGACTGGTTGTGGCACCACCTAACTTTGTTATTAAAATTGTTGACAAGGATGGTGCAAGAGAGTATGCATGGCGTGAATCAGTCAAGGATACTCCTGTTCCTTCAGCTTGAGTCAACTCTGCTCTCTTATTTTGATTGAACTTCTTTCCATTGGCCTATGCTTTTCTTTTTCACTTTCTCTGCTGGTACTGTAATGTCTCTGGAAATCTTGGTCTATAATTACTCTAAAAGTATGACAGGTTATCATTTGAATTATGTATGACTAGTTCTATTCAAAAAGGAATTTATGACAATGCATGAGGTAGGCTTTATTTTAACATACATCTAAGTCAAAATTTTGAAAATTTAAGAATTGCAACGGTAAATAACAAAGAAACTTTCACTTTAGTTCTTGAAGTGTGCAACTTAGTTTAAATTAGTCTCTTACATTTAAAATTTTAAACATTATTCTTTAAGATTATGAGGTGTTCCCGTATGAAATATTAAAATATAATAAGAGAACGATGATTTGTTACGACAAGTTGGAGTCTATTATAAAACATGAAATGATATTATTTTAGGATTTTCAAAAAATAATTCATTTTCATTTTAGACTTTTACAATTATTAGCTTTAACATCCTTTTATTTTCTTTTCTTTTTACTTCTACTTTGTCATCTTTCCATGGCCACTGTCAAAACATCTTAACCACTTATAACTTGTTGGCAAAAATGTTGAGTAACAACTTAAGTCCCTTTGTGTTTAACAAAAACTGATTAGTCAGCCACAACAACAATTGTAAACTTTTGATCTAGTTTTTTTTATATTTAATCATCAAAGGAGTGGTGAACTTTGACATTCCAAGGAAGAAGATGTATCATAAGAAGAAAAGAAGAAAAAAAGATTTTGATTGGAGTATAATGCAAATGATGTTAACGCTTTACTTGACGTGATAAATTATTATTGTATTATTTTATTTTAAAGTCTTTTAATAATAAAAATTAAATTGATTAGTAGTTGTTAATTTCATAGGATAATGTTAAAAATTTTAAACTTAAAAGGACTTGTTTCAATTATGTTACACATCACAAAGACTAGGAAATTAAGTGAATGTGCTGGACGAAGCTGAATATATTATGAAATACATGTCATTTATTAGTTAAATATAAAATAATAATAAAACATAAGAAGAGGAATTGAAAAAGGCTAGTTGATTGGCATCTCTTCTTTCAAAATTCATGGATCATATCAAGCATAATAAATAATTAATTTAAATTATATCATTAAATACTATGTTTATAAATGTTTAAGTATTCATAAAGGTTGTTTTAGCAAACTAGGGTGACATGTTACTGAGAAAAAGAAGTTTATCACTAGGTATCACTTTTAATCTTTCTAAATCTATCATGGATTTTGAATTCAGTTGTTATTCTTACTCATTCGATTTAGTCTTTATCCAAATACACTAAAAACTTCTTTTTTGGGTAAGCAATAACTCATAAAGTTGTTCATGTAAAAAAGCACTCTTAGCAGAAAGGCTATCTCAGCAAACTAACATGGCATAGTGGTGAGGCTGATAGATTAAATATCTACTTGGATAACTTATCACATATTCTATTTGTTAGCAAACTAAGTATCGATCAAACTTTTATATTTAAAATTTTTGTTTAAGAATGTTATGTATTAGTTGCGTACATAGTAAAATTTTGGTAGTTAAACAAATACTTGCTTGACTTATAAATTACCTTAAAAGTTATATAAATTATTTTCTGGCTTTCAATATTACAAATGACGTAAGTTGTTTTAATGTTTTGATTTTGCATCACTTTATAGACGTATTATTGACTCATTTATTATTTAGATGATATTATTATTTTTTATGAAATTAATTTTATTCATTGATTTTGAATTTTTATGGTTCTTACACTTAAAGTTTAGAGAACACTAACTTGAATTCATTAACTTTGATGTAAACTTAAGGTTTAGTACTAACTTGAATCCATTATCTTTAATGTGATCTCTCCTGTGATGTTTTTAACCTCTTAATATTTTTCCTAACATTTCCTTCTTCTTTTAGTTTCTCTCTTTCATGGTTGAGAGAAAAAGTTCCTTTTGATTACGTGAAAATAATTTAGAGTCATTATTCTTATTTGATAATTACTCTTTTATTTACTTGAAAAGCAAGGTTGCTTATAATTGTATTTGTAATTATATCCTATTGACTCTTTATATTTTATATTTAATAATTATCACATTAAATTTTAGAATCAGACCATAAGTTATATAAGCTTGTAGATTATTAAAATAATCCAACAATCTCTGACTTGACTCATGTAATGATTTGAAAATTCAATGAACTATAAGTGTGCATATACATTGAAATTATTAAGTCATCATCTTTAATTGATTTGAAATGACTGGATCATGATAGTCACAAGTCATTCAACAACACGATCTTTTCAATTATCACATAACCAACTCTAATAAAATGACTTTAATAAGTTATGCTATAAACTGTAACTTTGATGTGTTTTTTAACACTCAACCCGTTATCATATTTAAACCATACATGTACATAAAATAATTCAAATAACAAGTAACAAGTAGAAATAATAAATTTGTCACATGATTGATCATTTCAGTCACATGCTCATAAATAAGTTATGACCAATTAAATTTTTTAGTAGTCGACTCACTCAACAAGGTGTTTGAGACAGACCTTATTAGTGATGTTCAACTATGCATGCTATTTTATCTTTGTCATAAATTTTCTAACATTTTCAGTCTTTGGCATTGATGACTTTACATTAGCCATAATCATCTTAAACAAGCTCAAACTCAACCTATCAAACCTTTTTTAAGCCTCATAAAGAATCTTTTTATCATTCATACTAGTCTTAGAAATGGCTATAATCTTTTCTTCCATCATCATCGCTTGGTCCTTATCCATAATGCCTAGTTGGAATCAAACTTGCTCAAGCCAATTCTTATAGTTCAATCTATTGAACTTGACTATGTCATTGCCCATACCAAACATATTCATAGAGACTGCAATATATAATACACACTTAATCATCGATGCTTTGAGTAAATTTAATGGATTCAATCAACTAACACCAATTATGCATTTAAGTTCACTTTTGGGCAATATCTAAATACATAATTTATCTATAATGATGCTAAAACAAATAAGCTTTAATAGACAAGCAGTCACACTCAAGTCAATATGCATATTATCTTTGGATATACAAACACATTATCAAGTGACTACATGTCTCTTTAATGTCATTAATCATAAGTAATGATCCACCTTTGGTTAACCTTCTGGTATTATAATTAATGAGTTAAATTGTTCATCCTAAATTTTATATCACCATAACAACATTAACATTTTTGAACAATTAATAATACATAATTAAATGCTTAAATAATCTATTAAAGCCATACAACTTTGGTGATTGATAAGTTACCTATACAATTAAGCATTAAATTGTGAACTTTTCATTATAATCATATAATTTAGAATTAATTAACTTTTGGGTTCAATCACTTTGATGATTAAAATTTCTTTGCTTTAATTTTAAAACGATTTATGAATTTTATGGAATTTGTTCTGCAATTCGCCAAAAAGCACAGTCCTGTTGCCCTTAACACATAATTGTACCACTCATCATGTACAGTCGTGCCATCCTCATGCATGGTCGTGTTATGAAGCACGATTGTGCCACTCATTATGTATGACTATACTACCCTAAATAATTATTGCACATTCTACTTTACAATTTAAGCACAGTCACACAACCTTTAAGCATGGTCGTGCCATCCTTCAAGCTCGGTCGCGCATGCCCGAAATGTGCAAATGAGCATAGGCAAACATGTATTTCAAATTTTGAAAAACACCATATTCATCGTTTTATGGATTTGCAACCTAACATTTTTAGCGTCTAAAGTTTTTGTTTATTGAATCCTAAACCATCATCTAATAGTGAGATAATGACAATTAATCTTATAATCTAAATCATGACTAATTCTAATCCTCAAAATTCCTTTCCTAGGGTTTATGCAAATTGAGAAAAACCTTCATGGAGAACTAACCTTTTATGGAGAATCACAAAATTCATAACCAAAGATCTAATACTAGTTGCTAGATTTTCTTTGATGTAATTTTTATCTTTGATTATTCACTTTTATGAAGTTAGTTTTACCCATTAACCTTGAATTTCTACGGTTCTTGTAACATCCCTAAATTCAATCAGCTTCTATGAATTATCTACTGTTAACTAGTGTCTCTTTTTCTTTTTCTCATTTCCCTGATTTTGTTTTATGCTACAGTTTATGTTATTATTGCGTGATGTTTATTTATTATTTCATTTTTTTCTTTTGTTTGTGATCCTTATTTTCATCTTGGAGTGTAATGGAGAGTCCTTGTCGTCCTAAATTAGTTAGATTCTATATGATGACGTGAAAATGTTCTATACACAACTTAGAAAGAAAGAAGGTCTCATGTTTTATTTATGTTTATATACTCTTTCTCTCTTATGTTCTGACTCCTCATGGCCACGTGAGGGAATCGTCTAAGGGATACTAGGGGAGCAAGATGAATCTCATCTTAGTAATTTTGACCATGCCTAACCAAAAAATTAGCCTATGTAAATACGTGCATTTCATAGGCCCTACTATTATTGTCATGCCTTTACTCACTCCATTCTCTTTTTATTTATTATTTTGCTAAAAACTGAGACAAGGAAGAGAAGAGAAAAAATTATTCTTTATTTAAAAAAGGCATGCACATGTGACTTTCCCACTTCTCTTTTAAAATTTACTCAAAATTCTCTTTTCGCCATGAATGTCTTATAACTCCTCTTGAATTTAATGATAATAATTGAAGATCCCTTCATTACCACTTTTCCTATGCCCACCGTGAGTCCAACCTTTCAAATTCCATTAGAGACAGCATGACTGTTGGACTCACCAGCATTTTATCTCTCAGATAATCATTCTTTTCCCATGTCATGAACACATGTGAGAACCCCAAGAGGCAGAACTATGATTGCTTCACTCCACTTTAAATTTTATAGCCAAAAATCTTTTAATGCCCAGGAGAAAGTGACGCTAGCCATAATAGCTTCTATTGTGATTTTATTGCTAATATTAGACATTGTATTAGGTGCAGACCTTACATATTCCTCTAATTTTTATGTTCCATTCCACTTGATCAAAACCTTCCATATACTCTACTAATTGTACTATTAAATCTCACTTCATTTGTTTCTTCCTTGCATTCAATTTCTGAGAAAATTCCAATAGACCATATAATTAATCCCTCCCAAACTGAAATCATTATAGCCAGCTGCATTTAATGAGAAGCTTTAACCGACGCATCCCCTAGGCTGACTATTCAAATTTCG